TCACCCCGTGTCTCTCTCTGTGGACGACGGACCACCGTAAAGGCAAACTCTCTCTCCCTCTCTCACGATCACCCACTGATCGGCGACACCACCGGCAACCACCATATCGGCGACCACGGGGACTTGGGTATGTTTCATTTCTCAGATTTGAAATATTTTATCTGTTTCTCTATCCTCTCTCTCATTCTTCTCAGATTTGTAATTGCCCTTGAATTCTGTACTTCCTTATTTCTTATATATACACTAATATTTTCTCTGTTTCTCACTCTCTTTCTCTCTCATCCTCATCTCTCTCCCTTTCTCTCATTCTTCTCAGACTTGTAATTGCCCTTGAAATCTGTAGTTGTTTCTTATATATACACTAATATTTTCTAGCATGCTTTATGTTTGACAAATTGCCCAGAAGAGCTAGTATTGGAAATTTTAGCTGAACCTTGATTGTTCAATAATGTGTCAATTGAAATTGAATATCAGAAGTCTAAATTTATAAGTTTGTGGTGATTGCTACATCACATATATATGTTTTTCTGATTGTATGACTGTAATAGTAACATTATTGGATGAGGGCGTTGATTTAAACAAAAAATCATGAATGTATGTTTGGAATATTATGATGTTTTCATGTTAATTAAAATTGTTCGCATCACCTTTACAATGGATTCCGTTTTATTATGAAAAATACAATGGAAAATTGAAATGAATGATAAAAGTGTTGAACGAAGAATTGATAATGAGAAGAATGCTTTGAGTGCTAAAAATGTTACCTTTCTTTAATGGATCAACGAGAATGAACTCAAGAGATATTGCTATTGTTAAACCAGTACAGTTAGGCCTTGCTGACAAAAAATAATTTTTTGTTCTAAAATGTTTGGATCATGGTTGGTTTTGAAAGTGGAAGTGACTGCATCACTATGCTAAAAAATGAAATGAATAGTTAATGAATAAAATGGAAGGGGCCTTTAAGTACGCCGGTTAGGAAAAGTGACATAGTCCACAATGAAGGTAATACTAGGGAAAGAGGAAGACCAAAATTAACATGGGTTAGTAAAGAAAGATATGGTAACATGTGGATTGACCGAGGCTATGGCCTTAAATAGAGTGGAATGGGAACATCGGATTTATGAAACCGACCCCAAATCATTGGAAAAATGATTGAAATGAATATGTTATTGTGAAAGAAGCTGGTGCCTTGCCTTTGATTTAGCGCTCTAAATTTAGGTTCCATAATTAAGGTTGACATTGGAAAATAGCTGCAAGAAATCCAGTTATGATAAATAAAGTTTATTTTACTTTCTCGCTGTCGAGTTTTTGAAATGTTGGTGATGAATATATTTCTGGCATAAGGGCACACAAATGTTGTAATCATGTTGCATTGCTAGAAAACATATTATTTTGCCATGGATGTAAGTCAGGGTTTTGTTAGAGACAATTCAAAGTGCAGGAAAATGAATTTCTTGTTTTCAACATTTTTTGTTCTAAAATGTTTTGAACATGGCTGGTTTTAAAAGTGGAAGTCACTGCATCAATATGCTAAAAAATGAAATAAAGAGTTAATGAACAAAATGGAAGCGGCCTTTAAGTGCGCCCGTTAAGAAAAGTGACAATAGTCCACATTGAGGGTAATACTAGGGGAAGAGGAAGACCAAAGTTAATGTAGGTAGAGTTAGTAAAGAAAGATATGGTAGCATGCTCTTAAATAGAGCCGAATGGGAACATGTGATTAATTTAATTGACCCCAAGTCATTGGGAAAAGGATTCGTTGTTGTTGTTATTGTTGAACAAAATGGAAGCAAAAAAGAATGTTTTTAATTACCTAAAGATTTTAGTACTAAAGTGTTACATAACTTCATTGTACTAATATAAGAGTTTTGTAAATATATTGTATTAATATTTGAGTGAATATACAACGGTCTACGGAAGCATATTTCCGTGGTTTCATATGAAGAAAGCTGCCTACTTGGGAGGATTTGTGTCTTGTAGAATATGAAATTTGCAAGATAAAAATATGTGGACTAATTCGGATGGATCTTTTTTATCTGGTTTACCACAAAATCTAAGTCAATTTTCACTGTTTTTTATTAAAAGAGTGCATTATTTGCTAAAGGGATGGAACTGTTGAATGATTGAACCTTAATTAATATACTCTCTTCACATATTCATTTTGTGGTGGCCGGTTGAAGCTCTCCTTCAGTTTAAAGAACATTTATTATGAATAACATCCATTCATTAGATGCATATAGTGGGTCTCACTGTATTGCACCGAGAAGTTAACCAAGACTTCAAACCCTAGGTTTAAGAATGACAAAAATAAAAAAAATAAAAAATAAAAAAAAATAACTCAGAGTATTGTTACGTTTAAGGACCTTAAATTGATGAGATAACATAATCGCATTCTCAGATGTATTAGTTCTTTTCTTAGTTTGTTTCTTACATATATACTAATATTTGCTTGCATGATATATGCTCAACAAATTGCCCAGAAGAGCTAGTGTGGAAGAATTTTATCTGAAACGTGATTGTTCAATAATGGGTGTCAATTGAAAATGAATACAGAAACTCCATCTTTTATAAAATGACAAAGTCTTGCTACTGCGACACACATGTTTTCTGATTGTATGACTGTAATAGTATCATTATTGAATGAGTTGTTGCTTTAAACGAAAAATCATGAATGTATATGTTTTCATGTTCATTAAAATTACCGACCCTGTTTTATTTTGTGAAATACAATGGGAAATTGAAATGAATGATAATGTTGAGAAGATGAGCTAATAGTTCAGTCGACTGGCAACTACGAATTGATAATGAGAAGAATGCTTTGAATGCTAAAAGTTTTACCTTTTCTTTAGTGGATCATTGAGAATGAACTCACAAGTAGGTAATTGCTATTGATGAAACAGTTGGGCATTGCTGACAAAAAACAAATATATATTTTTTTGAATTGTTTGGGAGATGGCTGGTTTTGAAAGTGGAAGTCACTGGGCATCAGTAAGTTAAAAAATGAAATAAAGAGTTAATGAACAAAATGGAAGCAAAATTTGTTGCTTTAAAAAACCATTATCTAGTTTGGTTCCACCCTATGTTACCCGGACTCAGGTACGGGTGTCGGACACGGGTACGCGTCTAGAGGTCGGATCCACCAATCTATTCAATTATAGGACATGGGGACACGAAATAAAAGTGTCCAAAATTCGGACACGGGTACTTGGACACGGCATACAAAATATTAAAAAATGAAAAATCATATTAGTGATAGTTTGATAGATTTAATCATATAGGCAACTAAGCATGGCATAAGGGGCAGCAACAAACAAGATAACTTAGATAAGTAAGAGATGATGTTAATTCACAATTGTTAAATAACTAAATAAGTATCTTATTGAATTGAGTCAATTGACTGAATTCTCACACTTGCACCACATAGATTCGGATTTCAGCCTTCACTCTTCAGTCACACAGCATACAAATACAACACCACAGGTCCATAGTCAGACTCTGCACTTAAAAAGTTTGCACCTGAAAAGGCTGAAATATTATTTGAAATTTATGTTGTATTGACATTAACATATTGTTATGAACTATTGAACTTATGAAAAAATAGAAAAAAATAAACAAATACAAAATTGTTGAGTAGAACTGTATAAAGATTAAAGACAGAGATGTTAGAAACTTAGGAATCTTAGGACTTTAGAGTTTAGAATTTCATAATGAACTCAAAGACTTTAAACTTTAAACCATAAGGTCCATAATTATAATTTATATCATTCATATCATAAAGTCATACACTAACAGATTACCAATAGGCAATAGCAACAATACCAACTGCTAAGTGCCACCAACTACCAAGTAAGCAAGTACCAACAACTGAACAAGGCAACAACTTACAAGGCAACATTCCAAAAATTTAAAACAAAAGGCAAAAGTTATATCATAATTCATATAAAGAGATAAACAAAAGAAAAACAAAAGCCAAAAGGTACGTATAGTTCATCTTTTGTTTCATTTCTTCAATCCATCATTCCTTGTTGGAATTCTTCAGTTGCTTCACTCCCTAAGGTAGTACTCTCTTCCTATGTTACCCGGACTCGGGTACGGGTGTCGAACACGGGTACGTGTCTAGAGGTCGGATCCACCAATCTATTCAATTATAGGACACGGGGACACGGAATAAAAGTGTCTAAAATTCGGACACGGGTACTTGGACACGGCATACAAAATATTAAAAAATGAAAAATCATATTAGTGATAGTTTGATAGATTTAATCATATAGGCAACTAAGCATGGCATAAGGGGCAGCAACAAACAAGATAACTTAGATAAGTAAGAGATGATGTTAATTCACAATTGTTAAATAACTAAATAAGTACCTTATTGAATTGAGTCAATTGACTGAATTCTCACACTTGCACCACATAGATTCGGATTTCAGCCTTCACTCTTCAGTCACACAGCATACAAATACAACACCACAGGTCCACAGTCAGACTCTGCACTTAAAAAGTTTGCACTTGAAAAGGCTGAAATATTATTTGAAATTTATGTTGTATTGACATTAACATATTGTTATGAACTATTGAACTTATGAAAAAATAGAAAAAAATAAACAAATACAAAATTGTTGAGTAGAACTGTATAAAGATTAAAGACAGAGATGTTAGAAACTTAGGAATCTTAGGACTTTAGAGTTTAGAATTTCATAATGAACTCAAAGACTTTAAACTTTAAACCATAAGGTCCATAATTATAATTTATATCATTCATATCATAAAGTCATACACTAACAGATTACCAATAGGCAATAGCAACAATACCAACTGCTAAGTGCCACCAACTACCAAGTAAGCAAGTACCAACAACTGAACAAGGCAACAACTTACAAGGCAACATTCCAAAAATTTAAAACAAAAGGCAAAAGTTATATCATAATTCATATAAAGAGATAAACATAAGAAAAACAAAAGCCAAAAGGTACGTATAGTTCATCTTTTTCTTCATTTCTTCAATCCATCATTCCTTGTTGGAATTCTTCAGTTGCTTCACTCCCTAAGGTAGTACTCTCTTCAAACTCTTCATCAAATGTTATAAGCTCTAACTCAGGCTCATTGATGGAAAGCTCCACAAGTTCCCCAAGAGTATTACCATCAATATCAAACTTATCACCACCTATTAAACAAAATAAATTAATAGTGATGTAAAAAAAAACTAAAAATGTAGTAAAAGAATATCTATGAAAGTCCTGTTGGAGATATTTAAATTTAAAAGTAAGTTTATGAACTTACACAAGTCCCAATACTTTGTTGGCCCTTCCTTGTATTCTTTCTTTTTTCTTGACAAGAGACGGAGGTTGCAATGTACAAAGACCAAATCCTCAGCTCTACTTGTAGTCAATCTGTTTCTTTTGATGCTTTGAATAAGAGAATATGTACTCCAATTTCTTTCGCAACAAGATGATGATGCGGGCTGTGAAAGCAACTTGAATGCTAAAGCTTGTAACATTGGTGTTGAAGCACCATGATTAGCCCACCATGAAATTGGTTCCTCATACAATTTTGCATCAATAACATGAGGCTCATTAAAGTAACCAGATCCACTTGAAAAAGCTCCATATTCGATATAAACTTTTCGAAGATCATCTTAATTGCTAAACAATCGTTTGAAACATTTGCTTCTATTTAAAGAGACCTCTTGATCTTCATGTGGTGAGAGCCGTGGAACTCCATCACTTCCACCTCCAATCCAAGCTTCAGTTTAGTATTTAGGAACCAATGAATGAGCCATACAATGCAGTGGATTGTTGCTTTTATTCCATCGTGTCTCCAAAATATTGTGAATGACGTCAAAGAAATTAGATTGGCCAGTGAGCAGATTTTGTTTTTCATGTCCAAATATTCTAGATTTAACTTTCTCAATCATTGTGTCCCACATATCATAAATCAAATGGAGAACAAGAGCATCAGTGTCTGCTAACCTTAGAAATTCAACAATAGGCTCAGTAAAATCCAAGAGATATTCCAAATCAGCCCACCAACTATCACTCACAATGGAAATTTTAACTTCCCTAGCCTTGATTTCAATTGCTGATTTTCCATCCCATTTTAGATGCATTCTCCAACTTGGATCCATCACCATCTTCTCAAGTGCATCCTTCACTTCCCTTATGCGTTTTGCCATAATAATGCTTGATGCAAATCTTGTTTCCGCTACTCTTAGCAAACCCAATTCCGAGTAATTGTTGAAAATTGAAAGTACCATGCCATGGTTAACAATGAAATTTCTTATATTTTGCACACTACTCACCAAATCAGCAATCCATTTACATTCAGCAAATTGAGGTGAATTTTCAGATGGTTCACAAATACTTTTTAAAGCTAAATTTAGGCAATGCACAACACATGGAGTCCAAAATATGTGAGGATATATACCTTCAATTATGGCCCCAGCAGCCTTGAAGTTACTTCCATTATCAGTAATCACTTGAACAACATTTTGTGAACCCACTTCTTGGATCATGGGTTTGAACAGATTTGTTACATAATCAGCATCCTTTATGTTGCCACTTGCATCAATTGCCTTTAAAAACATTGCACCATTTACTGATGTAGCCATTATGTTTATCAGTGGCCTTCGTTGTCTATCCGACCACCCATCAGAACAAAGGGACATGGCTTTCTTTTTCCAAGTATCTTTTATCGGTTGGAGCTTGCGATTCACATGTGCTTTCTCTTGGGTTAGCAATGTTGTTTGTAATCTATCAAATGTTGGAGTATAGCTAGATAACTTGCTGTTGGCTAATGTGAGTGAATATTTTCTGAAGTGAGGGCACCTTGCCAAGTTGAAGGATAAACCAGACACATAGAACATGCGAGCAGCTTGCTTATCTGCCACATCTCTTTGTGCTACATTAAATGCATTTTCCAGCACTCCTGGAGCTGATGCCCTTCTTTTTTTGCATTGCAACAAATCTGATCCTTCAGGTAAGGACAAATAATCTTCCTTCTTTCTCACATTCAATTCTTCTTGAGCTTTTTTGCTTTCAGAATGGCCATGTTCCTTCTTTAATGCTTGAAATACATCATTATTGATAGACTTGCAAGCTTCAACCCCTTGATTAGGAATCTTCAATAAATGACCCTTCACTTTTGAATAGGATCCAGTAACCTTTTTGTTGCAGTAATTGCAAGACCAGGTTCTGTTTCTACCTCCACGTACTGGTAGGCTAAGAACCTTTACATGATTCCATAATGGTTTTTCATCAAATTCTGACCCTAGAGCTTTTGATGGTCGTAGGTTTGTCTTTCCTTTCCCTTTGATAGATTGTTGAGATGGAGAGGACATTGTATCCTAACTTTAAAGCACAAGTGTATATATAAATGCATGATATATTTAATGAACATAATCAAACTTAAAAGAATAAATTATCAAAAAAAATTCTCAAAACTTAAAAGAATAAATTTATTCCAGTATCAGTTGTATCAATTAATTCAATTGTATAATCAATGAATGCATAAAGGAAATAGTACGTACGGTTACTATATTCTTGGCAGAGACAATTGATTCTAACTGGTGCCTTCCCAAGTTACTAAAAGGTGGCTTTCGGTTTTCTGACTACTGGCAGACAATTGATTCTGACTTCTTCCTCTTCTTTTCTGTCTTATTAATTTTGCCATGAGAGAGAGAGAGAGAGAAAAATTATATATACCTATTGTTATAAATTATAATGAACATAATAAAATTTAAAAGAATAAAATTATCAAAAAATATTCTGAAAACTTAAAAGAATAAAATTATTTATTGGAGGTGCATAAAATAAGATTATACAAGTATGGATTGATACAGTTGTATAATCATACGAAGAGAGAGAGGGAGAGAAGATATATATACTTGTTCAGGGGTTGTTTGTGTTGCAGTCTTGGAGATCAGAGACGGAGCAACATGGCGCAGGTGCAAGAAGAACAGAGAGTGAAGATGAAAATGGCGCAGGTGCAGGAAGAAGAGACAGAGAAGATGAAAATGGCGCAGGTGGCGTGTAAGAATGGTGCATTGCTTTGAGCCACAAAATGCCACAGTAGCATTTAATGACTGACTAAGCCATCACCCCTAGCCTTTTGATTGATATAAAATCTAATATTATATATTAAGTTAAAAATTTTATACTTCTTGCTTACTGTAAGGGCATGCGTTTTGGAGGCGTGGTATTTCCAAGGCTGACCTAAGAACTTAAAATTCAAACAATTTCGTACCTGTTGAAACTGTGATGATGTGAAGTCAAAATTAATGTATAGAATTAGCAACATTAATTTAATAATTAATATTTTAATTCTTTACCTATAAATAGTGTAAGCTATTCTTAATTAATGTGAAGTCAAAATTAATGTACCGAATTGGCAACATTAATTTAATAATAAATATTTTAATTCTTTACCTATAGATAATGTAAGCTATTCTTAATTAAATGATGATGTGAAGTCGCAAAATTAGTGTATAGAATTAGCAACAGTAATTTAGTAAAAAATATTTTATTTCTTTACCTATAATGTAAGCAATTATTCTCATAAGTTCAATTTTTATATACTTATCTATTCATTACTATAGTCTCAATAGTAAAATAATGATTATTATAGTCTCGTGAGTTCAATTATTATACAGTTATCAATTGATCAGTGATCACTATAGTCTCGTTAGTTAACTTTTAATTCCATGTGTTTAATTATATAGTTATATAGGATCACTATATTAGTATAGCCTCCTTAATTCAATGTGTTTGATTGTATAGTTATATATAAATAACTATACTAGTGTGTGATTTTTAATTCCATGTCTTTAATTATATAGTCATATAGGATTACTATACTATTTTAGCCTCCTTAATTCAATGTGTTTAACCATATAGTTATATATGGATCACTAAACTAGTGTGAGATTTTTAATTCCATGTGTTTAATTATATAGTTATATAGGATCACTATACTAGTATAGTCTACTTAATTTCATGTATTTAATTATATAGTCGTGTAGGATTACTATACTATTATAGCCTCCTTAATTCAATGTGTTTAATTAGGACAAATATAATTCAATGTGTTGAATTATATAGTTAAATGTTTAAATATAAGTTTTTTTTTTTTTTTTTAAGTTAAATACTTAATTTTATTCTAATATTTTTGTAAATAAAATAAATAATTTAATGTGTAATTATTTATATAATTATCTTACTAATAATTGGGTATGTGAGATTTAAATAGAAAAAAAACTTAAGTAATATAGATTATTATTATTTTTTTTTTTTATTTTTTTTTTTTGTAGGATATTTATACCCTTAAACATGATTAATGAGTAATAAGAAATTTATATAGCAATAAGTGAGTGTGTAAGCTACCAAGCTTTAAGTATGGGATAAAAAGTTAATTAATTTAAATATAATGTATATAATATTTTTTAGAATATTTATAAACCTCAAATATGATTAGTAATTAATGTGAAATTAGTTTACTCTCAATATTTTTTATATGGAAGTTATATAAAAAAGGCATAAGTATTTATTTACCTTTTTTAATGGATTTATGAGATTTAATTATGGAAAAAACCTTTTATGGTTTTAGACAATATTAGTTTTAGATTTCTTAATTCAATGTGTTTAATTAGGACAAATATAATTCAATGTGTTTAATTACTAAGTGTAACCTTCTTAATTCCATGTGTTGAATTATATAGTTAAATGTTTAAATATAAGTTTTTTTTTATAGTTAAATACTTAATTTTATTCTAATGTTTTTGTAAATAAAATAAATAATTTAATGTGTAATTATTTATATAATTATCTTACTAATAATTGGGTATGTGAGATTTAAATAGAAAAGAAACTTAAGTAATATAAATTTAATTTTTTTTTTTGTAGGATATTTATACCCTTAAACATGATTAATGAGTAATAAGAAAATTATATAGTAATAAGTGAGTATGTCAGCTACCGAGCTTTAAATATGGGATAAAAAGTTAATTAATTTAAATATAATGTATATAATATTTTTTAGAATATTTATAAACCTCAAACATAATTAGTAATTAATGTGAAATTAGTTTGCTTTCAATATTTTTTATATGGAAGTTATATAAAAAAGGCATAAGTATTTATTTACCTTTTTTAATGGATTTATGAGATTTAATTATGGAAAAAAATCTTTTATTATTTTACACAATATTATTTGTCCACTTTAAAAAGTCAAAGCATATAAGTCTTTATCTTTTGATCATTGTCATTTATATTTTTAAAAAACAAGAATTAATAAATATACATGTAAAGTTATAAACTATTGTGTATTTTATTGTAACAGATTTGTATATATTTTGTTATATTGATGATGGTAAAATAATGTACAAAGCCCAATGCCCAAAAATAACCTTGTCTAAATTATTATTTTAATGGACAAAAAGTGGCCCATAGTGTTTCCTGGGCGATATCAGAGTGTTTCTGGCTGGCAATATAAACTCTGAAAAAAACAGAGAGGGAAAAATAAAAAATAAAATAAAATAAAACTAAAGAAAATATTTTCTATGAATACAAAAATACATAATTGTTTTAAGTTATAAACGAAGAGTAATAAATAGGTTTTTTTTTGAGAAGGTAAATGTATTTTATTAAAAGAAAGAATTTACAGCAGGCCAAAGCCTCAACCAATGGGCCAACCCATAAATTAAACAGCCCATAAGGCCTTACAGATGGATCAAGACGTATTCAGTCTAGGGTTTCCTAAACTTAAGAAGTCTAAGCCAAAGTCTCAAATATCATCCGATTCCAAGCGGCGACGCAATAGCCGCACCGTGGTATCAGTCTGGAGGCTCTGCCGGCGGCCGTATGAAGGAATCAGGTAGATCCCACGTGAGTATCATTCTCCTAGCACAACCAGAGTCTTTAACCACCATAGATGATAGTATCTGCCTTATCAATAATAAATAGGGTTATTCTTGTCAAAACCCCCCCCACCTCCCCCCACACACATATATACACACACACACACACACACATATATACACACACACACAAGAGGGAAGAAAGAAAAGAACACTCAGATCTTTTGAAGGGGCAAAAACGCAACACACACGAGAGAAGAAAGAAAAGAACAGCCAGATTGTTTTTAGGGGCAAAAACGCAACGCAAAGCAACAAATGGTTTAATTATAAGGTTAAAATTGTAAATTTACACCTATTTAATTAGGTTAAAATGGTCAACATAATTGTGGTGAGTGGGTTACAGCTAGTAACCCACTAACCACAATTTTTATTATTTTTATTATTATTATTATTATTATTTTATATATATATATATATATATATATATATACTACTACTACCACACATATATATATATACACACGTTTCTCAATGACAGGCAGTGTCGGTCGAAATTTGTTTACGCGTTAGAACGTGAAAAAGGTGCGCCATATTCGCCAAATAGGGTAACTTTCTATGGAAAACCAACGCGTGAAGAACCCTCGTCTTCTCCAAAACGTCTTTCCTGAAAATCGCGGCGAAACCAATAATTTCCGACCACTGAAACCAAGTTTTTCTTCAACGGCCGTGTCCGATCTTGACCGTACAAGGTCGGACGCATATCCCGAGTCCGTGTCCTTGTCGTGTCGTGTCGACACGGACACCCTCGCCGAAAAGGACGAGTCCAGGTAACACAGGACTTCCACCTACATTGGTGCTAGGAGGGAAGACTGATGATGGATCTGACCTTTGGTATTATATTGCATAAAGTGGCTTCTTTCGAACTCGAAGCTGCATTTTCACATCATTAATTTCTTAGCAGTGAAAATGCAGTTTAACTTATATTCATTTAGTTTAATTATATGAATTCTGTGAACGGCGGGGCAAAATTGTTCATCCTACTGCCGCTTGCCTTCCAACATAACTTGATAATTCAAATTTATCCGTTAGGAAATTTAGGAAACTGTTGCTCAAGAACGTCTTTCTAATCCACTAGTTACATGGCATATCTACTTTGCAGCTTCTGGAGACGATGGTGAAGAACTGTGGTGATTCTGTGCATTTACAAATTGCTGAGAGGAATATACTACAGGAGATGATCAAAATTGTAAAGAAAAGGGTAAGCTCTGCTTTTGTATCTGTCTGGGATTTTAGATCAACATGAGGTGCCTGGTGGTTTTTCTTCACTTGTTTTGAGGTTTTAGCTCATGATTCCGTTTTACTTTCCCATTGAAATTCCATCTCTTGCAATCTTAATTTCATTTCTACTATATTCTTTTATTGGACTTCTAAGTTTAGATATGGATAACGGGTTAAGTATTCTACACCAAAATAGTTGGTGAACAAGT